CAGAGGCTGATGAGGACAGCGGCTTCAGGAGCAAAACGCCAGAAAGCACAGAGGGACTTCCGGCCTCAGGGTGCCCACCACCCTCCCTGCGGAGTGACGTTTTATTTATTTATTTTTAAATATATTTTTATTGATTTCAGAGAGGAAGGGAGAGGGAGAGAGAAAGAGAGATAGAAACATCAATGATGAGAGAGAATCATTGATCAGCTGCCTCTTGCACGTCCCCTACTGGGGATCGAGCCCACAACCTGGGCATGTGCCCCTGACCGGAATCGAACCTGGGACCCTTCAGTCCGCAGGCCAATGCTCTATCCACTGAGCCAAACCGGCCAGGGCGTGAGTGACATTTTAGAAGGAATGTGTGCAAAGCACAAAAAATAGGACTGCCCCCCTGCCCCAGGCCATACCAAACCACCACCTCCCGGTGCTGCCACCTCTCCCCGACCCCCCCCTCAACTCTTCCAACCCATGTCATCAAATCCAACTCTCACTCAGCCGCACTGCAGACGGACGGACGGACGGACAGCCACCAGATTGCTACTAGGATCTGACATCTCTGGCCTCGCGGGCCCCTCCCGCCCCCTCCAAGCCCCAGCAAACATGTAGCCAGGTCCTTCCAGCTCCGGAAGTGATAGGAAGATGCCGGGAAGAAGCCCCACCCCAGGAAGGAAGGATACATTCGGGCCTTTTTGTCACTTGATGCTCAAGCATCTTCTCCAGATCAGAGTATGAACCTTTCTGACCAAGCTGCACCCAAGCCACACGCGAGGGCGGCCTCAGGTGCCATCCGAAGGCCGGCGGACCCACAGCCCCGCCGGGAGGCACGTCAGCCGTGACCTTCCCAGCTGGATGACAAACGCAACAATCCCTCAACTCGAACTTGCGAAAGAGCAGAAGGCAGGCACTTGCCAAGAGTTTCACGGGACATTGTGTTCAACAGGAAGGAGCTAGGAACGAACTCCACGTCCATCGAGAGAAAGCCGGTTAATGCTCGTTCCTACAAAAGAACACTGTGATTCTGCAGCGGGTGTGTGCGTGCCGGTACAGGAACACCTCCGAGAAATACCGCTCACAAAAGAAAGAAGAGAAAGATGCGGAACATTGTGTATAACATGATCCCATCTGTGTACTTTTAACGAAGTATCTGAGGATAGAAATAAATGAAAAAGGTAGATAAGTAGATATTTTGTTTTTTTTTTTTTTTAATCCAGAGGACTGGGAAAGAGACTTAGCAGTAACTCCCCCTGCAGAGAGAGTCTAAGATTGGGAGGCAGTGGGGAGGCAGAGGCGCTCACATTGTTTTACACGTTTTAAAACCACATTCATGCCTCACTTTGTTCAGGAAATTATAACCATCTAATCCATGATCCGTTATCTATGAAAACAGGCAGCGAGGCCAACACAGATGAAATCCTCAGGTAACCTAAGAGGGCATGTCACTCGGATTTCGCCCCTTTGCAGCAAAGCTTCAGACAAATGGATTCCGTTTCTCCCTGCTCCTCTCTCCCCGGCCCCGCCTGTCCTTAAAGCAAAACTAATGAGCTGTGAGATGGCCAAATGCAGGCCCCGAGGAAGGGGAACCGGCTCTGAACATTCACCACTGGACCCTCAGGCCTCCCGGGAGCAAGAGCCACAGGCCCTGCCTTGGCTGGAGTTCAGGCGCTTCCCTGACGAACTGCAGGTTCGATCCTAGGTCAGGGCCCATGCGGGAGGCAACTGACCCATGTTTCTCTCACACAGTGTCTCTCTCTCTCTCTCTCTCTCTCTCTCCCCCCCCCCTCCTTCCTCCCTCCCCTCCGCTCTCTAAGGTCAATAAAAAAAGTAAAACTAACTAAATATAAATAAATGCTTGCTAAACCAACTATACAAACAACTATGCAGAACAATGGGGTGTCACCTAAAGGTTGCTGTCATCAATTCAACACCAACAGAAATCTCCAATTTGGGGTGCAAGGAGGGGAGAGACCCTTATTCAGTGGAAACAGCTCGGCTGTGGAACAGCAAGGAGGCCCTGGTGCTACAGCTCAATGCTGCTTGCTCCATGGAAACTGGAGTGCACCCCCCTGAGGCAGAGGTGAAGCTGTCACTTATAGGAAAATTTACCCGCCCCTTTTCCTGATTGGTCCGTTCCTATGCAAATGCAGCCCCCACACCATGATTGGTCCAAATAGCACCATAACTGCTCAGCCAGAATAAAGCTGCTCTGATTAGTCCAGCGGTTCTCAACCTGTGGGTCGCGACTCCTTTGGGGGTCGAACGACCCTTTCACAGGGGTCGCCTAAGACCATCGGAAAACACATATATAATTACATATTGTTTTTGTGATTAATCACTGTGCTTTAATTATGTTCAATTTGTAACAATGAAATTGGGGGTCACCACAACATGAGGAACTGTATTAAAGGGTCGCGGCATTAGGACGGTTGAGAACCACTGGATTAGTCAGTGAAGATGCAAACGAGGATGTAGCTGCCCAGCTCTGATTGGACGGGGAAAGTCTCAGTCCTATTGGTGGAATTTCGATCCTAGGAGCTCTCTTATCCTGGTTGACTCAGAGGGCAGGAGGCTTGGCAGCCCAGTCGGAAATGCAGGGAGCGTGAGGGACCTCTGCACAATTACCTCCGATGAACCACAGGCGTCCTTTTTGTAGGTCTATTTTTCTTGGGGCCCACAAGGGGTAAGTCACATAAAATTGGACACACACACAGGCCCCCATGTTTTGGAGTACCTACTGAAAAGAACACCAATGAATTAACACAGATACATCCTAACATAGAAACGGATCGTATTTCCAAAGTCTGTATCGAAACTGGTGATTGAGAGTTGAGGACCCCTTTCTCACAGAAATCATGGTACAAATGTCGGCTACATTTCCTGGCGAGGCCACACACTTCTGCTTAGCCCATAAAATAAATGAATCCCAGCCTGTCCTTGAGCTGCACTGGCCCTGAACTGCTTGCTGCAGAGTCTGCAACTGAGCCCCAGCCCCCCACCAAGCGGGAGAGAAATGACCGTGTGCCAGGGATCTGGCCTGGTTAGACCACGGGAGCCATCAGTGTCGCTTTGGTCCTGTCGCCCCTCACCCTCAAGGCTGACCTACCTGTCCCCTCCCAGTGTCCCGCCACCGACACAGAGCAGCACACAGCCAACGTGTGTGAGGCCTGGGCACAACCCCCTGTGCCTGGGCCGGGGCTGAGATCTGTCCTCTCCTCTCCCCCTGATACACTCAGGCACTGCATAACCGCATTCACCCTGGAGGAGAGCGCAGGCACGACCCTAGGCTGGTGCGACAGAAAAATAAAACAGACACGACCGCAGCTGCAGTCCCAGCTCGGGGGTCACCCTGTGACACACCCGACAGAGCTCAGGGGTGACAGCTGTGTCTAAGGGCCACTGCTCTGACCCTGTCCCTCGGCTCCTGGGGGGCCTCCATGGGCACCTGTTTGAGGGCATACGCCTTCCAAGCCCGCAGGCCCACCCCAAATCAGTTCACCCCTGGGGACAGAGAGGGTGAATGTTTAAAAATCAGTCCACAGATGAATCTGTCACTCTTCCCAGGGAATTCACAGTTTTGAGCGATTGTACAGAGAGAACACCTTAAGGGAAGGGAAGGGCAGCGACAGGAGCAGGAAGTGTTTGCGAAGCTGAAGCATGAATTCCATCCGGCATCCGGGACTGGGACTGGGGCCGGGAACAGAGGACGTGCTAGAAAACCAGTGAGATACAAATGAAGCCTGAAGTTTCCTTAATGGGCAACAGAGGGTGTGAAGTTGGTGTCAACTAGTGAGAGGCATCAGGACCTCTGCATTAGCTTCGCAACTTTCCTATAAATCTAACATTGTTCCCACATTAAAGCTGGTCACAAGCATATTGTGCCCAGAACAGATCAACAACAGAAACTGGAGGGAAGGCCCCCCACCCTCCCTCTGAAGCGCAGAGAGCAGACCTGGGTGACGGGGAGGGAGCAGGCCGCCCAGGGCCTCTGGCCACCTTGTAGGACTCTGGTCTGGGGGGGAGGGGGTAATGGGGAGCCAGGGACACCCGAAGGCTGCATCAGGCCCCTCCCAGCATGCCTCAGGCCCTGGGGCAAGGGCAGTCTCTGGTTTGCAAATGCATGAACCAGCAAAGCAGAGATTACTCAGCATGTGGAGGGAGAGGAAGCGCTCTGTTGACCCACACTATGACCCCGCTGTGCCCCTGCGTGGGGATCCCAGCACACAGTGCGCTGTGTCCAACCCGACTCCTAGGGCTCCTCCCAGCACGGCTCACAGGTCCGTGTTCCCGTCCAAGCCCACGGCTAAGGGCGCAAGAAAAAGAACAGAAGGTTGACTGCTTTTCCTAAGAAACGCTGATGGGGGAGGGGGAGGGGAAGGGGAGGGGCAGACAGAAACCCACTGCAGGGGAAATGAAAGCTGGGCTGGGTGCTGCATCCAGGTAGGCTGTGAGGGGGGTCAGCTGTGAGGGTGCACAGCTCTAGGAAGTAGTAGGGGCCTCGATATTCCCAGGAGGCCCTGTCCCATTCTGAGGCTGGGGAGAAAGACAAGGTGACGCCCCTGCTACCAGCTGGGAGGAGTTTGGGGAGCAGCAGCCAGGGGACCTCTCTGGCTCTTTCTAACTATGATGCCACCCAAACCTGAGGCTCGGCAGGGCACTGTGGCTACTTTTATAGCGGAGACCTGTTCTCTGACGTTTACGTATAGGGATCTATCATTTCAACTTCTCTCTTTATACCAATCAGTCTCGCCAGCTTCGTGGGAGCTACAGGGTCACGTCAATTCCAGAAGCAGCAATTGCAGAGACCTCTGCACACCGACCGAAGGGGGCCAGTCACTCAGGCGCTCACGGGAAACCGAGTCAGGAGCGGTCCCCTCCACCCGGCCGCCCAGGCCCGTGCGCTTTCTGGCTCACAATACTGGTAGCTTTACCGTAAGATAAGGTAACATTACAGGAAAACCTAGATGCCCAGCTTTTTTTGTGAAAAATCTCTCGACCAGCATTGCTTTCAGATGGTAAACAAGAATATAAAAGCATTTATTTGAGCAAAAGGAGCTGCAGCCCAGGAGGCTCAGATGTAGGGAGCAACCCAACAGCACTCCGGGGAGAAGACAGAGAAGTTATAACGGCAAAACCACACGGGTAATTCTTTCATGCAAATGAAGGATCAGGCTAGGTCCACAGGGATTGGTTAGTTCCAATATGCAAATGAAGGGGCGAAAACTACCAGGAGGAAGTCAAGTCCCTGTCACAGCCGGTCTGGTCCGGGATGTTTATGGCTCAACCTTGAGCAAAGCCATGGCACCAGGTTTAGGAACTCAGTAGCAGCTCTGAGTGCTGCCTTGTGAGGCCGCATCCTCGTTTCTGTTTCTCTGTCTCTCCTTCCCAGTTGCTCCACAATCAGAACGCATTAGCTTTCTTCTCACACTAAATAAAGCACCGGTCTAACGCCATCATCTGAAAGTGAGAGATTCCGTTGGCTTGAGCGGTCAGAATGGCCCCTTGGGAGAGGCTGGATGTGAAATGAGAACAGAAAGATGGAGAGAGGCCTTTCCCGGAGGAGGGAACAGCATGACCAGGAGCGAAGGGGGGTGGATGGCGGGGCGGGGCGGGGGGGGGGGCGGGGGGGTGGGCGGGTGGGGGGCGGGGGGGTCTAGCTCAGAAACTCTGGGCGCTGGGGTTTGGCTGGCACATGAAGCCAGCATAAAGCATGCACACCCCTCCTCACCCACAGCCCCCTGGCTCTCGGTCTGGGCGGCTTTCTTCCCGACTTCTTTCCAATCGAACGCCGGCCTGAGGCTGCCATTCCCGGTAGCAGGTCACAGGACGGAACTGGATCAACTGGATCAGGCCACCCTTGCAGGAGCCTAATGGCTTCTGAAGTCAGTGGTGTGCTCATTTAGATGCAGGCCACGCCCTGGATGTGAGGAGAGGTGACCTGGGACCCGGCGTGCAGGCAGGCACCCCCCCCTCCCCCGTGCCCCTGCGTGGGGGTCACAGCACACAGTGCGCTGTGTCCAATCCGACTCCGAGCGCTCCTCCCCACACGTCCCACAGGTCCGTGTTCCGTCCAAGCCCACGGCTAAATGCACCAGAAAGAGGACAGAAGGTCGACTCCTTTCTCCAAAGAAACGCTGAGCGGGGAGGGGCCCCTGGGCAGAGGAAGGGGGGCTGGTTCCCCTTTTACACCGTAGGGGGGCAAACGGAACCCCACGGAAGGGGAAATGAGAGCTGCACAAATACGAAATGGATGTTGAGTTGAACAAGGACGGGGAGAGGGAGGGACAGCGTGGGGACCAGGGACTGGGGAGGAGGGGAGGCGTGGGACCCGACACAGTCAGGGCTGTGCCTCTGCGGGCTTTGGCAGGCACCCAGGGGGAGGCGTCCACTGAAGGACAAACGACTCGGACAAACACAAGCGCCTTCTGGATTCAGAAGCAGCGGCGAGAGAAGGGCTGGCTGATTTCAGAAGCTCTGCACAAAACGCCTGCCTCCCGGGAGGATGGACTCGCCTTCAGAGGCTAGAATGGGGGCCAATATGTTCCCATTCCCATCTTCCACATCTGTCCCTATCAGATGCAAATGGCACATAGTAGGGCCAGCAGCCACTGTTGACAGACATTTATTTACTATTGGACAAACCTCCACACTCACACGGGATCTTTTTTGTTGTTTTTAATCCTCATCCAAGGATTTTTTTTAAAAATATATTTTACTGACTTTCCACAAAGAGGAAGGGAGAGGGATAGAGAGTTAGAAACATCGATGAGAGAGAAACATCAATCAGCTGCCTCCTGCACACTCCCTAACTGAGGATGTGCCCGCAACCAAGGTACATGCCCTTGACT